TAGAAAGTTAATGCCTAAAAATAGTATTAAACAAGACCTTAAAAGTTTGCCACAAATGTTTTTGTATTAAATTTATAATAATTATTGCAACAATTCGGGTTTTTTTTTTTAATATCTTGCTGTAATTCTAACGTCAATACCAATAAAATTATTACGCAATGTTAAGCAAAACTGTATTTGAAATATTTTAATATTTATAAATTAATCTTAATCTAATTTCAGTTTTAAATTAATATGCATATTCAAATTTAAAATCAAAGTCTAATTTTGAAATAAAAATATTTCTTTTAAATTTCATTCAAGTTCTTAAAGAAAATATTATTCATATCTAAAATTAGTTTTAATCAACATTTTTATCCCAACTGATATTTATCAAATAACGTCAAAAAAAAGCTTTTTAATGTTTAAGTAAAAACCAGGTTTTTTTGAGAAACCAGGTCAAAATTTTATTAAAATATAAAAAACTAAAATATTTTTAATTCAAAACCATATTTGGATTCTCGATCAAATTCTGCAACTTTTAGTAACTCCACAATTTTTTTCTTAAAAAAAATCCAAAATCGACACACCCTAGTCATGCAATCTAATATATTTAGTTTTAAAGAAGTTTTTTCTTTCTGTACTTATCTTCATCACTGTTTGTTTTTTTCTAGACTTTGATCATATATATATATATATATATATATATATATATATATATATATATATATATATATATATATATATATATATATATATATATATATATATATATAACGAAAAATCACAAAAATATATATTTTCCGATGTGTTATACTTTCATTTTTGAAGTAATAATTTCATTATAATATAATTTTTTAGGAGACAAGAGTTTTCAGCTCCTGGAATACTTTCAAGATCAAAAAAGCTTAATATGCAAGACGAAAATAAAAACAACTCAATATCTGAAGATATACTGAACTTTTCGCCATCAGTTTTTCTCAATTCGTCAATTAATACATTCATAGATAAAGAAAATAGTAATGCTTGTAACTCTATCGTCACCTCTACCCCTGCCAAATATCTTGAGGAAAACAAAATGAACTATACACCTGTTGCGTGTAACAAACGCAAAATATTAAACAATGAAAACAGTCAGCATCTCAAACAGAAATCAAAACGAACATGTTTAAGCACAACTCCTCGAACTCCTACTCCTCTTCGAGTGATATCAAAAGATGAAAAATCTTATTCAAGTACTCCAACAATTGATGAAATATCAGAGTTTCTTCTTAAAAAGGAATCTGCTGGAATGTATAAAACTTTCGAAAATAGTTTTGCGAATATTTCAACTGATGATATGCGCATAGAAGAAAATAAAGCTGTAAAAGAAGGTCTTCGAAGAACGCTGTTCGAAACTCCCTCGCAATCAAACCTAATGCGAACTTGTGGCGTTAATCTTTTTTCAGACAAGGAAATAAACGCGCTTGAACAAATGTCCACATGTTTTACTCCCCAAAAAGAATACATCAAGGAAAATGCTTGTGCCAGTGAGCCAACAAAACACGAAGAGCATCAAAATATAGCTCGAACGTTAAACTATCAAGTGCATTCTAACTATGCCTCAAATGATCAACAACAGGTTAGTATTTTGCCACTTGTTGGAAAATCTTTAAAAATACCTATTAGAAGGTTACCTTCAAAACAGTTGCAATGTTCTCATATTATATCAAATCAATGTCAACTTCTCCAGTTCACTGATGCATTTAAAATTATGGCATATGGTCAAAGTAACGATCAAAAATTTCTTACCGAACAAGCTAGAATCATTATGAAAAAAATTAATGGTAGTTGATTTTATATGTAAATATATATATATATATATATATATATATATATATATATATATATATATATATATATATATATATATATATATATATATATATATATATATATATATATATATATATATATATATATATATATATATATAATATGTATATGTATATATGAAAATATTATTTAAAATATTGTACATAAATTAATGTACAAAAAAGCGGAATTGCGGTTCAGTACCTAAATTCTATTGATTTAAACAATATCAAGATATTTTTGATTTCGCTGTTTTATTGGCTTCATCTATGTTGGATATATATATTTTAAATAATCGTTAATTTATTTGATTTTAAAAGAATTATTTATTGCTGTTGTGTTTTATTTTTTCTATAGCTTGGATTTTTTCTATGGCTTGGATTTTAATTTTGACATCAATTAAACGTTTTTTTTTTAAACATTTTAACATTGGTTTAACGATCAGTTGTAGCTTTTTATAATGAAGTAAGCAAAAAATAAGTTTATTGGCATTTGTGAATTTTTCGAATAATTCCATATATAACTATCACGGTTATCATGGATCCTGATAACGCAAACCTAGCTAACTCAAGTGACGCCATTTATATGAAAGATTGTACACATCAACAGGGGCGGATCCAGCATTTTTTGATCTTTGAGATAGCTAACTTCCTGACATGGAGTAAACTCAAAATATTTGTTAATTCATATATGACATATCAAATAAAAATGATTTGAAAAATATTGCGATGATTTGAACTTGGGAACATAAAAGCCCCAAAAATTTCGAAAAGTTTGGCGCTTTTTTGTTCCTAGGCTCCAATCATCGCAATTTATCACAAAGTGTCCTTATTTTACATAAGTATATACATACAAACGTTCGGAGTTTGCTCCATGTCTGAAAGTTAGCTCAAAGACTAAAAAATGCTGGATACCTTGTCGTAAATTTTAAAATCTGAATAAAATTTCATTCTGGTGCCTCTCTCAAATAATTTAAATAACTCTAGTAGTTCTATAAAGGGTGACTGATGAAATCCTAAATGCTAGAAGACGGTGTGAGTTTTATCATTAAGTAACGCTTTCTGAAATTTTATCGAGCGAAATTCGGCTGAATAATGAATTTGAAGCAAGCCTTGGTAACTAAGTTAAAATTTTTGAATGCTTTAATAATGTTAATGGGAGCCATGTTTGTATCAGCGAGTTGCTGTAGCATATCCAATATTTTAAGAAACTTCCTGTATTCATTTTCCTTAAATTGCCCCCATGATATGTACTCAGTTAAATGTAATGGGTAGCTGGCCACTTAACAGCTTCTATCCAAGCAGTTTTTAGGATTGTGAAAAAATGAATGACAACTCCTAAGAGTAGATGTAATAGGGTATCGTTTTGGTGACGTCAAATTGTTTGTTTGTCCGAATATCAATCCCACAACCACTAGCGTTTTTTAGAAATTCTTTTGTTTCTGTGCAATTTTTGTCCGCATTTCGATCCCAGAAAGCCTTGTAGCAATCTATTTTTAGAACCGCGACGGTACCCTATTTCATCGGTGGGATGATTCCCAAGGTTTAGAGGGTTTAAAGACCACAAATTATTTGTAATCACAATATCACAAGCCAAAACTAGTTGAACTCCATTTGCATTAATCACTAACCAGATTTATTCAATATTGGAGTAAACTGGAAAGTTTTATAATACCCCAACAAGAATTTATCTCTTGACTCCAGCGTTTGAAGTGATAGATTGTTGTTGTGACAATGAGCTCGTTTCATCTCTTAACGCAGTATTGCTAGTGTTTCGACAAAACTTGAGGAAACCTTTGCCACCCCTTAATTTCTAGCTTAACAAAATATCTATTAGAAATTTTGAAAGATTAAATAACATGATTCACAAGACTTAAAAAATCATTGCTGTAAGCAAAAACTTAAAATGTAGCATAAAATAATTTGTAAAAAATTTATTCTACCAAAGTACAGATGAAAGCTTGCAACTGTATAAAAATAAATGAATAAGTTGAAGCTTGAATATTTATAAGACCGTTAGATCTTTTTGAAGCAGCCTAATAAGTACAAAAAAAAAATCTCAAGTTATGTTTATTTATTTACAAACACACATACACACACACATATTAGCAGGGGCGTTTACAGGAAATTTTTTAGGTAAGTCTAAAAAAAAAATATTCCTACCTCTGCCTCCCTATTTTTTTTAGGGAGAGGGGGAGGAGGACCGGATTGAGTGTATTTTATAAAAATGTTCTAATTTTTTAAATGACTTGTAACATTGATCAAATGGAAACTAAAGTTCAAAATATGATTTTTGCAAACTAAAAAAACTATTTTTTTGAAAATACTCAGTTGTCGGAATGTATAATATATACATGTTAAAATTTTTTAGAAGATTTGTGAAAACAATTGACAAGATTAATACAAGATTTTGCTGTGTAAATTTTTTTATATAACTTCATAAATAACATTTAATTATAAATAAACTTTATAAATAATTAAAGTCAAAACTTATTGCAATAACTGTACAATGCTAAATGTTTTTACAAAGATGTCTGGCTATGAAAATAGCTGTTTAACAAAAAGCAGCTAAAACATTTGAAGTTATACTTTTATCGCATTTGAATTTTATTTAAAACACAACTCATGAGTATTTATAACAAACTTAAAAAGGTTTGTTGCTTGTAATGTTTCAATATTATTAGATTAAAGTTCATTTTTGAAATTCAGGCAGTTAAGTGAAATTCAACTAAACTTCCCACAGATCAAATTTAGGTAATAAAGCCTTTGGTTTGGAAATAATAAATAAACCTAATAAAGCCTTTGCTTAAACAAAAGACACTAAAACATATGATTTGGTCTTCCCAACTAGTATAACAAAACATTGAATTTCTGCAATTGTTTTTAGAAGAATCTGAATATTAGAAAGAAGAAATTAAAGTACAGGTGCTTTATAACACTTCAAAATTGTATCAATCAACCATTGTGTTAATCTCAGTAATCTAGATAAAACTCAGATAGTCTAGCAAAGAAACAGCGATAACCAAGTTAAAATAATTTAAAATGCAATTTTTAGGCTTGTTTAGAGGTGTTGATTAGTAATATTTCAAACTATAGAGACAAAATCTTGAATAAGGTTGCTTAAATAAGATTGAAACTATAAAAATTATCATTATAAAATATCATGAATAAAATGCTTGAATAAGATTGAAACTATAAAAATTATCATTATTACTTGCTTGCAAAATTATGTAATTAAAAAAGTTATATTAAAAACATGTCTTGTTATACACACTGCAACAATAAAATCAAAATTTGTTATAAATTCAGAAGAAGCAGTAGCAGAGGCTGCACCATTAATGACATTCTTTGAGACAGAAAACCACAGGTATAAAAAACTTTCGTAAAGTATCCATGCCACAATTTCACATTTCATAACACCCAAAGAAAAATCAGTAATAGCTTTTATGAAAATACTAAGTAAACAAGTTTTTTCTTTAATGTGGTTCATCATAGTTCCTATTACGATTATCATGAATCTCATAAAGGATAAACAATATGGCTAATTAAAATTATACTTAATAAGTCTAAAATCTTCTTCTTGATTATAAAAGAAAACCAAGGAACAAATACTAGTTTTTATCGATGCAACTATAAACAGCTTCTACTTGTAATAACTCTCTGTCTTCCTTTCTTGTATCCAAAGGATATCGTGATATCAAAAGTTCTACACAATTAAAGTAATATTCGGTCGCCTAACTTTAAAGGAAATGATGCTTTTCTTTAACATACTAACTTTTTCTTTAAAATGCTATATAAACTTGTGAATAAGGCGACATTTTGAACTAATCATTGGCCATGTTATATGTTTAATAAATTTGATTAATTTAATTAAACACAAATTTAGCAGGGTGTAGGTGAAAGGAGAAGTCCGATATTTATTTTCCACATTTGAAACCTTTTTTCTCCTTATTTATTTCTTAAAATGCAAGTTATTAAAATGATACACAGTCTACTGTAATAAAACTGGGAATGTCTATTGATATATTTTGATATATACAAGTTGTTACTAACTAATTTTACCACCTGGTGATAGTTAAACAATAAAACTTAATAAAAATTCTACTCAGGGTGTATGTCAAAAGGGAAGTCCAAAGTTTTTTCTAACTGAAATAATCATTTTGATTTTTTTTAAACCGATGAAAGAAAAAAATCAAAAAATAGAGTTCCGTATAACAAAATAAAATAAGGTATGTCAATTTAAGTTTCTAATTAAGTTATTTAACTCAAAAGTTAGTTTAACCTCCATCAAAATATTGTAATTATTATTTTTTAACAACCGCAAAATTTTGTAACCGGTATACTATTTTCCGGATTTTAATATTTTGGAACTTGAACCGTTTTCCGGTTTTTTAATTTTTTTCCAACCGTTCAGGATAATTAACCGTGCATAATTTGTTTAGTTTTAGCTGTAGTATGGTTTTAATAGTTATATATAGTAAGACTTTTTTCAACAATATAATCAAGTTGAAAAACTTTTATTTAATTTTTTCGGGTACATCCAACGACGTAGCGGACATTCCCTAGACACGCCCCTGATTAGGGTGTCCTAAAAATATATCATAAATCGAATTTTAATGTGTGGAATACTATATTTAGCATTACTTTATTTATAAATAAAAATTAAATTCTTAGCTCAAAGGGAAGGTTATTTAGGTGAATTTACTTTTAGGTAATAATTTATAATAAATAAATTTTGATTTAAAATTAATTTTTATCCGAGTCAATTTTTATTTATGTTTCGACAAAAGCATGACTAACAATGAGTTTAATGATGCGTGTTTTATAAACAATAAAAACTAATGATGCGTAAATTTATATATAATTAAAGTATAAATCAAGTTTAAAAGTTGTTTTCAACCAAGAAATTCATCTAAAACACAGGTTTGAATTTGTATATAAAACATATTAACAAGTTTCACTATTTTTTCATTATTAGCTGTTTACTATAATCCTGATTCAGTTAACTACAATTAAATGCATCTAATGCGGATTTTTTAAAAGAAATAAATTGATTTTAGAATATGTCTCTAGACATAAATTGTCACGCTCATTCACTGAGAACAGATATTGATGATGCGTCAAAAGCTAAAAGGAAGAGGAGACAATTTTATTTGCTAGGGTTCCTTTTACAGAGTTTTGCCCCTAATAGACTTCCAACAAATGGAGAAATGCTCAGAAGGTATTACTATCTTAATCTCAAAAAAAGCAATAGGTAAATCTTAAATTAATTAATAAAAGAATTACATTTTTTACATGTTTAATGTTAACTTTTTAATGTCTTTTTTTTTAATTTCTTAAACTAAAAACAGTAGTTTTTAGCTGAAAAACAATATTAAACAACGTTTAAAAAATTTGCAGCAATAGGAAAGGTTCTTTACCAAAGTCTTATGCGTCATACTAAGAATCTGTCTCCCCTACAAGTCATTTTTGCTCTTGCTGATAAGGATCTGAAAACTGAAGTTAAGACTAACATGTTAAACAAGCTGCTTTCTTATGATTTCCCGGAGTTAAAATAACTGATTAAAAAGAGGCCTGAAACTAAGGTTGAAATTCTTTCTACATCAAAATTAGAAGACTTAGTCAACAAGCAGTCCTACCTTTTGTTCTTGCTATTGGAGATCTCCAAGAAGGAAATTCTGCTATGGAAAGAAAAAGGCATCGAAACGTGAAAATGAGGAAGTTTTCCAGTCTTTTACTTACTTTTTAATGTGTGTAAAAACAATTGCAGTTGTAAATGACCATGCAGAACGCCACATTAAGTTAAGTCAAGATTTCATTGAAAGAACACACAAGGAAAACAGGCTTCAGGATACTCTCCAGATATTTTGTTCAATAACACAGAATTTAAATATGATTTTTAGTTGTTATTAATAATAATGATTGTTAATGTATAAGTAGTACTTTTAAAAAATTCATCAAAATAGTTTTATACTCTAAATTAATTTAGAGTATAAAACTATTTTGATGGTTATCTAAATAGTAAAAAAAATAATGTATCAACTTGTTGCTCTTACGTTTGGGGCAGTTGTAACTAAAATTTTATGGCTTTTTTTCCCAGGCTCCAATCATTGCAATTTATTGCAAAGCATCCTTATTTGACATAAGTATAAACATATATGTTTGAAGTTTTTTCTATGTATAGAAGTTAACCTTAAACGTTGAAAAAAAAAAATGTATTTGCGCATGCGCCTGCATTCTAAAAATTATTTGCTGTTTATTTTGTTGCATTTAAAACAAATTTCTCCTTAAAATGAATGGTTTTCATTTAAAAAAAAATTCACTTAAAGATTGTACAACAAGCATATTTGTTTGTTAAACACGCACCAATTTTTTTGTTTGTTTAGGTAAAAATTGTAATCAGAATAGTATGAATAAAGTCATTTTTAAGTCAAATTTTAATTAATAAAATAAAAGTTATTTTACCTAAATAACCTTTTGCTTTAACTAAAGACCTAATTTTTTTTGCTAGTATTTATAGACAAAATGATGCCAAATGCAGTATTCCGCATATCAAAACTCAATCTATGATATATTTTTGGGACACTCTAATATATATATATATATATATATATATATATATATATATATATATATATATATATATATATATATATATATATATATAATATATATATATATATGTATATATATAATATATATATATATATATATATATATATATATATATATATATATATATAATATATATATATATATGTATATATATAATATATATATATATATATATATTATATAATATATATATATATATATATATATATATATATATATATAATATATATATATATATATATATATATATATATATATATATATATATATATATAATATATATATATATATGTATATATATAATATATATATATATATATATATATGATATATATATATATATATATATATATATATATATAATATATATATATATACATATATATACATATTTATATATAATATATATAATATATATATATATATATATATATATATATATATACATATATATACATACATGCATACATACACATGTGTGGGTATACACATATATATATGCAGGGCCGTCCCGAAGAGGTCTTCCATGGGGGGTGGGGGTGTAAGTATTTTTTTGCCAACTAAGGACACACAAAAAAAAAAAAATAATAAAATAAAAAAAAAAAGGTCCTCAATACTTGCAATTTGCCAACTATTAGCAAACTATATTTATATTTAAATTTGCCAACTATTACTTTAATATAAATATAGTTGGAAAAATGTCAACTATATTAATGAATATAGTTGGCAACTAAATTTATTATATCAACTCAAAAAGCATTTCACATTGAGCAAACATGCTCAATGTGCCAACTAAAATGCTTATATGACAGTTTTTTTTTTGGGGGGGATGGGGACACACCCCCGACACCCCTCCTTCGGGACGGCCCTGTATATATGAATAAAGTTTAACAACAATATTATTCCAAATGACTATTTACAATTATTAATTAAATGTTAGTTTTTATTATTTTTTATATTATAACAAATTAAAAACAACGTAATTTGAAGTTAAGTAATTTAATAAAAATCATAAATTAACAAAAAAATAACAGGGTAAAATGTAATACAAAAAATACTACTGACTATAAAATATTGTTTAGCAAAAAGGATTTTTAGATTAAATATTTATAACTTAATATATTTTTTATTTTTCCTATTTAAAATGTCTTTGTATAAAATAAAGAAACTCCAGAAGCAACTGGCTATAGAAACAAACATCAAAAAAAAAAAAACTCCATTCCAATTAAATTTCTTTTTTATTGTCAATATCAAACATTGAGCAACTGCTGATGCAAAATGTCCAGTGCCATCAATAATGCCTGTAATAGTAGCCAAAGCTTGAGCTTTGTTTTTTATCTGATCATGCTTACTGAGATCAACTGAGATTGCAGTGCTAATGATAACATCAGGTCCACCGACTAAAAATCCATTAAAAAAAATGATTATAGCATTGGTACGACCGTTATCAAGTTTGAAATTTAAGTATATTGTAGCGATGGAAAACAAAAACATTGTAAAAATCACCGGTGATCGCATTCCTATCATTTTTGATAAGGTTCCAGCAACAATGCCTAAAACAAAAAAGGTTTTTTCAAAAAAAAACTCTTTTAAAAAAGGAAACTTTTATAAACAGCTTTAATGTATTATTTAATGTTATCTGCTATCATATTTAAAGCTTTTTAATTTTTCAAGAAATGAAAAAATTAATAAAATTTTTTTTTTGGTCAAGTGGTGCCGCTATACAGATATTGTAGATGAGTTTGTTCTTAATGTACAAACTATTGTTAAGTACTGAGTAATTTTTTGGAAATTTGTAATGTCATCTATCTAAACAGTTCACCACCTACACATGTTTCCAGCTGAAAGTTAACTTAAATCTCTTTTTTTTTGCCCAAGTTTTTATACCAATATACCTTTTTAAAAATATTTGCAGTTAACTTTAACGGAATATATACGGTATGATTAGTATTAGTAGCCTGTTTGTTATATAATGCTTTAAAAAACTTTTTTTTGCTTCAATTTGTAAGATTTATTATTTGCAAGATATTGAAAAACTAAATATATTAGATAAAAGACTTAATTTCAATAAATTACACTAAACAACAAAAACAAAGTTTTTATTTTATAAATGTATATGTATAGATTTATATATAGTTAGTTAGTTAGTTAAACTGCTTGGATCTTATCCACCAGCTGAGAAGGTGTAACGTTCAGCTATAGCAGCCAAGTACTTTTTTTCTTTTTTTTTTAATAAATATTTTCTCATTTTTTTAAAGCCACTTGTCGAAACTTGCTTTAAAACTATTCAAATTCTTGGAATCTACAACTATTTCCAGAAGTTTGTTCCAAATTTGGCACACTCTGTTCGTGAAGAAATGGATTCTGGAGCTTACCGATGCATGAAAGTCATTTATTTTGCGAGGAGTAAAACACTGTATTCTAATTTTATGTTTGTGACTTCTAATGGAAGAACATGGGCTATCTAATTTAACGCTTGACTTATAGACTGGTTTGATATTAAGATTGACAAATTCTAAATGGTTTAATATCTTGTTTAAATGAATAAAGATTTAAAGTAGTTAAATCCATTTTAACTAGCCGTTTCTCATAACTTAGCATTTGGTTTGAGTATGATATTTTTGTGGCCCTGCGTTGAACTCTTTCAAGCATTAAGATTTCCGCCAGATTCAGAGGACTTAATGCTAGAACCGCAAATTCAAGATAAGGTTGCACATAAGTAGTATACAAAATTTTCTACATATAACAATCTATACTTTTAAAGGTATTTTTTATTAAACACAGTATTTTTGAAGCTTTGTTAACACATACTTGTGTTTGATGTTTCCACCTCATATCTGGTTGTACAAAAACACCATGTCTCTTTCTAATACACTTTTGGAGAGGTCATTAATCATTCCATTTATATTCAATGTTTATGTTTTATCAATGCCTCGAAGAACTTTATGATTGGCGAATCTCACTACCTTACATTTTTTGCAGTTTAGTTCCATACCCCAATTGTTGCACCATTTCACAATGTTGTCAAGGTCGGTTGTATTTCTGTATTTGTATTTCTGCTTGTTTATCAATGGAATCTTATATGGCTATTATTTTGCTATCATCAGCATACATTTTAAATGTGTTTAGCACAACTCATGGCAGGTTGTTTATGAATAGCAAAAACAGTATTGGATCCAAAACGGAACCCTGAGACACGCCACTGGTAACAGATACCCATTCTGAAACTGTATTACTAATAGCAACTTTTTATTTTCTATTTGCAATAAAACTTTCAATCCAGTTATATATTTTACCAGTTATACCATATGCTTTAATCTTTATCAATAATCTTTTGTGTTCTACTTTATCAAAAGCCTTTGCGAAATCAAGATATATTACGCATAACAATTTACCTTTTGCAGTTTCGAATGTAATTGGGTCAATTGTCTCAATAAGATTTGTTGTGCATGATTTGTATGGAACAAAACCAGTTTGCTCCTCAGATATAAGTCTATTTGAAACTAATTGTTCAGAATTGTGTCCCGAACAAGCTTTTCAAACATTTTACAAATCACAGATGTTAGGGATACTGGTCTGTAGTTTTCTGGTTCAAGTTTTAATCCTCCTTTGTAAATTGGTGATATATTTGCAACAGACCAGTGGTAAGGGACACATCCAGTGTCAAAGCTTAATTTGAAAATATGAATAATTGGGTCCACAAAACCTTCAGCAGCATGCTTTAAAACAAACGAACTAATTTCATCAAAACCTATCGCTTTTGACTTATCTATACCTATTATTTTTTTCATAGGTAATCACATTAGATAATTTACTGCAATCGTACTAGTTTTCACATCTTTGCAAGAACTCGGGTATCGCTTGTTCATTATCATTAACAAAGGCTGACTGAAATTGCTTATTTAATATATCTGAAATGTCTGATATTTTAGTTGTAACTTGATCTTTTTTATTCTTGATTGCTCTAATTTGCGATTTGACGTTTTGTTTTCTATTTACGTATAAGAATAAAAGTTTTAGTGCTTTGCTCTCTTTACTCCATTTCTTATTCTTGAGTTGATCTTTTGGTTTGCTTTTTAACATTCGCACACATTTTGTTAAAAGCCTTTCAACATTTTTGACTTTGCCGATGCAAATTTGAATAAAATATAGAATGTTTAATCTTTATTGCTTTTTTAACATTTGCATCCAACCAGAGGTGATGGTTCTTTTTTTTATTATTTAAAATAGGAACAAACAATCGACAAGATTCATTATATGAATGCAAAAATAGCTTATAACAATCACAGACTGATTTTTCATAAAATAGCTCAACCCAGTTGATTTGTTTCAAGTCTTTATTCATTTGAAAAAATTACCTTTTTTAAAACAAAACTTACCTTTTGTGAGTGTATTGTCACTAAAACTTGTAAAATATTGCCAAGTGATGAAGTAATGGTACCTTCCTTTTTCATAGTGGCCTAACTGTGGACCACATTGAAGAAAATCAATGCAATTTGGGTTGCAAACTAAAACTCTAAAATTCGACAACTAATGGTTCTGATGCATGCATTTTGTGAGTTAGGCAAACCGACAATTACAACATTTTTAGACTTTTGACTGGATAATATTTCATGACTTTTTGACACTTTGATGTAAGTATTATACAGCTCATAACCTGGCTTGGCAAATTGCTCAGCAATTTAGCAGTAACTAACAGCAGGTGAACTAGAAGGTGGTAAATTTGCATTTTTTTCTTCTAGTCTTTTTACTTTCTCGCTAAGTTCAGCTATTTATATATATATATATATATATATATATATATATATATATATATATATATATATATATATATATATATATATATATATATATATATATATATATATATATATATATATATATATATATATGTATATATAAACTTGTTTTAAGCAATTTTTTCTTAAAACAAGTTTATTTTTGCTTAAAATAAGAATTCATTTTAAAATGAATTTTTATTTTAAGAAAAAAAGATCTTGTTTTAAGCAATTTTTTACTTAAAAAAGCAAATTTTTACTTGTCAATATGGTAAGCAATTTTTTTCTTAAAATAAGAATTGATCTTTTGCAGTGTGTATATATAAATATATATATATATATATATATATATATATATATATATATATATATATATATATATATATATATATATATATATATATATATATATATATATATATATGTATATATATATATATATATATATATATATATATATATATATATATATATATATATATGTATATATATATATATATGTATATATATATATATATATATATATATATATATATATATATATATATATATATATATATATATATATATATATATATATATATATATATATATATAAAAACTTGTTTTAAGCAATTTTTTCTTAAAACAAGTTTATTTTTGCTTAAAATAAGAATTCATTTTAAAATGAATTTTTATTTTAAGAAAAAAAGATCTTGTTTTAAGCAATTTTTTACTTAAAAAAGCAAATTTTTACTTGTCAGTATGGTAAGCAATTTTTTTCTTAAAATAAGAATTGATCTTTTGCAGTGTATATATATATATATAAATATATAAATATATATATATATATATATATATATATATATATATATATATATATATATATATATATATATATATATATATATATATATATATATATATATAGTAGTTTCACTCAATGTTAGACAACGATCTATTCCATCATAAAAAACGTTTTTGTAGGAAAATCTTTCTAAAGCAGACCAGCAACATTTAAGCCTCATCTATAGAAAAGCCAAATGTATTTATGTTATGAAAAAATATATATATATATATAATATAAATATATTTATATATTTATATTATGTCAAATATTTTTATACCTGATGTTATGTTTAATGTTAATATCTTGGTTTTGGAATCAGAAAAATCTTTTACCAAAACCTTTTAAGAATATGAATCAGTATTTTTACCGTTTGACGACTATTAATATAATGTAAATCTATATAAAAAGTAATTATATTTCTTGAAAAGGTTTGTTCAAGTGTACAACTTTTTTTTTAAAATTTAGCACATAAGGCCTTTCATAGTTTCATTAGTAGTGCTATTATGCAAAAAAAAATTTCTATTAAAGTTTATGTAGCTAAGATTTGCCATTGTTTTGTGTCTTTTTAAATAGGAAGTGTAATTCAAAGTTATCATGTTTTTGTTTGCGTAAATAATTTTCATTAAATATTAAACTCTTTTCTTTTTTAAGTTCCACAAAAATAAAAAGTTGGCAAAAAGATTCCATAGTGATATTATTTTTTTCTTTGGCAATCATAAACATGGTTATAGAGAGTATTGCAACTGGAGATATGGCTATTTGCCCGATTTCTTTAACAGCTTGTTTTTTCAGTGTATGTAGATTAACCATTACATATTGCAACTAGAGATATGGCTATTTGCCCGATTTCTTTAACAGCTTGTTTTTCCAGTGTATGTAGATTAACCATTACATGCACATTACATCAAACTTTAGATGATAGATCACATGGATCACATTTTTACTA